GACCCCATTTTGCCCCCCCAGCACTCACCACTCTGGCCACAAACAGGGTTTTGAAGGCATCTCCTTGAGCGTTGGGGTCATTGTGGGGGTCCCCTGGGGGGAAAAGAGGAAAAATGGGGTTCAGGAAGGGTCTGGGGGGGTCTGAGGAAAATGGGGGACCCCCCAAAACCCACGGGATCCCCCCCAAACTTACACAGCTTGAGCTCAGACTCCACCTCCTGCTGCCTCCGCTCGATTTTCTCCCGCCGCTGTTGGGGGGTGAAAAGTGACCAAAAATTGGGGGGTGGGGGTGAACTCAGGGGGACCCCAGACCCAAAAGCATCACCCACAGCCCCCCAAAATCCAGCGGGGACCCCAAAAAATCCCACTGGAGTGGGGGGAAACACAATTCAGGAGGATCCCCTAAAACCCCAAAGCGCTGCAAGGGGGATGAGCTGGAATTTGGGGGGGCAACACCCACTTGGGGCCAATTTTGGGGACCCCCCAGACCCTCCCAGTCCCATGGGGGCCCCTCTGGGTGGTTTGCCCCTCATTTTTGGGGGGTTTGCCCAATTTTTGGGGGGTTTGTCCCGTTTTCAGAGTGGGTTGTGCCATTTAGGGGAGGTTTTACCCCATTTTTGGGGTGTTTTATCCCATTTTGGGGGTTTTATCCCATTTTGGGGGTTTTGTCCCATTTTTGGGTGCTTTTATCCCATTTTTTGGGGCGTTTTGTCCCCGTCTGGGAGGTCTGTCCCATTTTTGGAGGGTTTCCCCCCATTTTTGGAGAGTTTCCCCCCATTTTTGGAGAGTTTCCCCCCATTTTTGGGGCTTTGTCCCATTTTGGGGGGATTTTATCCCATTTTATGGGGTGCTTTGTACCTGTTTGGGGGGTTTGTCCCATTTTTGGGGGATTTCCCCTAATTTTGGGGGGGTTTGTCCTGTTTTGGGGGGTTTGTCCCATTTTCGGGGGGCTTGTCCCATTTCTGGGTGGTTTTGTCCCATTTTTGAGAAGTTTTTTCCCGTTTTTGGGGGTTTCGTCCCATTTTTGTAGGTTTTATCCCGTTTTTGAGAGGTTTTATCCCATTTTTGGGTGGTTTTGTCCCATTTTTGGGGGTTTATCCCATTTTTAGGGGGTTTTATCCCATTTTTAGGGTGTTTTATCCCATTTTAGGGGGTTTTATCCATTTTGGGGTGTTCTGTCCCATTTTGGGGGGTTTTGTCCTGTTTTTGAGAGGTTTTGTCCCATTTTTGGGTGGCTTTGTCCCATTTTTGGGTGGTTTTATCCCATTTTTTGGGGTTTTGTCCCATTTCTGGGGGTTTTGTCCCCTTTTTGGAGGGTTTCCCCCCATTTTCGGGGGGTTTGGTCCCATTTCTGGGTGGTTTTGTCCCATTTTTTGCATGTTTTGTCCCATTTTTGGGGGGTTTTGTCCCATTTTTGGGTGGTTTTGTCCCATTTCTGCGTGGTTTTATCCCGTTTTTTGGGTGTTTTGTCCCATTTTTGGAGGGTTTTGTCCCATTTCTGGGGGTTTTGTCCCATTTCTGTGGGTTTTATCCCATTTTTGAGAAGTTTTGTCCCATTTCTGGGTGGTTTTATCCCGTTTTTTGGGTGTTTTGTCCCATTTTTGGGGGGTTCTGCACGTACCTTGCGCTCCATGCGCTCCTCGCGCGTCTCAGCGCGGGTGGGC